CCGATTGTACACTATTACTTACGCGTGAAACTATCACACGCTAAGTATTCACTTAGTGGAGCATAATAATATAAATGAGGTGTAACCAAAATATAAGTATATCATAAAATACCAAAATACAAATTTAATCATATAAATCATAATAATACATAAAATTGACTTGGTAAACCAAGTTTCTTTATAACCCGCGAAACAATATTTAGTATGCCCAACATACCCATCAATCAGTATTTTCCAAAATATCCACTTATTTCCTAATATATGTCAAATGAGAATGCAAGTTACATGATTTGCACATAAGTTCTAAACGAAAGCATAGGTTATGTAGTGACAGCAACACTATAATGATATAACAAAATGGTAATTCACAAACTCATTATAAATACCATGGATGCACAAATAGTGCCGAAAGCACACAAAGTATTGATACGAAAATGCAACATATGCATTAAACAAAATCGATTGATAATCATCATACACAAACTATGTCAAAATGTACCTACGACTCTCAATGAATACAATAGGACTTTAAATCAAATTCGCATATTAAAAAATTATTTTGAAATATAGATAGTTGTTAAAATAATATAAAAGTTCATCCATTTATTTTAGGGCAGTTCATACCCTAAAATTATTCGTAAAATCATTTTCATAAACGTTATGAAAATATTTCAAAATAAGGTTAATCATGCTTTTATAAAAAAATATTCGGGGTTGACTCATCACAAATCATTCTCATATCATATAAGTACATAATAAATGCACTCACCTTGTATACCTCACTATTATGCCTTATTGTATTCCGACTATTTTGGAACTTTTTCCTTGCCTTTTTGTTTTCTTGCCTCACAAATTTGATTATGATCTACACAAGCATCCATAGTCACACACACAAATATAAAATACAATGTTAGTATCCTTACTAACATTTATACAAAATAATAATACTCAAAAGTACTATTATTTTCGAATTCTTTTAAAATTCATCCTAACTTTTCTTTTTTCTTTTTATAATGGCCATTGTCATAAATTCTTCAATTCAAGCCCAAATAAATTTCTAGAATTAAAATTACATCCCAATGTCTCAATAATACTATATTTACCACTTAAGCCACTAACTTTCTCAATATTCACCATTTTGTACTTAAACTTTGCCAATTTTCCAAAATGGCTTAATTTTATTTTCTAACTTCAATTTCAGTTGTCAAACAGTAATTTCCATCAATTTACATCAATTATTGAGTAATTACACATTCAACCCATAATTTTTCAAAATTATCAAACATGTCCCTCAACTTTTGAAAATTTACACATTGGCCCAAAAAAATTTCTAAGGCTTTATAACTTTCCAAATATCATTTCTAACCCATGAAAATTTTCCAAAATTTTCCCAACTTATTTCCTCATGGTCGAATGCTTTAAGGGTACATTTCTCATGATTTTCACTTGATTCATGCATGAAACCAACCTCTATTCAACATTTCAAGACCTCTAGAATCAAACCCTGACTTAATTTCATTAAAATACATCTTTCCTATAAAGCTAGGGTTTGGACGAATTCAACATATGCTTATATAGCCATGTACAAGTTATTTTAATCAACAATCATTCTTGTATATGATTCTACAACCTCAAAAATATCATAATCCTTCATCAATTTCATAAGCCCTAATATGAACACAAACCCTTAAATTTGGGATCTTTGAACACAAGAAAGATTAAGATGCAATATTGGTACCAAATGATAGCGTTTTTCGTGTAAAACCATTTTCTATTTCACGACATAATCCAAAATCCAAAGGAAATTGCTCAAAAATCAAAAAGAAATTTTCTCTTACCTTAGGATGGTGTTCACAACTTAGAGATGAAAGTAGGCTAAGTTTCATGAAATTTCTAAACTTAATTTCATGTTAATTTAGCCTTATTTAAGCTTAAATGAATATTAAATTTATTTAATTGGGAAAATACCATTTTACCCTTAATGAAACTTCATAATTACTATCAAAACAAGCCACACCAACCTTATCATTTTCCAAAAGTCAAAGATGAACAAATTATTTCACCCTTTACCATTTTGCCCATGCAACTTTCCAAAATTGTAATCTTGTCACTTTAATCCAACTGTCCAAATTTAACATGGAATTAAATCCTTCAATCCAATGGTTTATATTATTTTCCATCATTTTAAAATGTGGAAATAATATTTTTAAGCCTAATTTATTAACCTTCAATTTTCTTGAAATTTCTATCGATCTGATTTATCGATTTATTATCGGACTTTATCGCTTTGTAGCTTTTAATACAAACTCCATACAAAAAATCTGATTCCCACGAAAACGTCATTATTAGGGGGTAAACGATTCATTTACGGGGCCGAATTACATAAATTTTTAAAATTACACTTTAGTCCCTAAACTTTTCTAAAGTTTATACTTTGGTCACTTAACTTTCAAATTTTATATTTTAGTCACTATCCAAAATTTGGGGTACTACAACATCACCATACCTTGATTTTCTATATCTCTAAATGATTGGTTGGTGGGCTATTTTAAAGGTCTAGGGGTGTAAGGCAAAGGGATCCTCTCTCTTTACCTCTTTGTACTTTCTATGAATGTTATCAAGGTTATTGGATAAAGCGGTTGAGTTTGGGGTGTTTAGTTTCCACCCGAAGTGCCACAAGATTAGCCTTACTAACCTCTCCTTTGCAGATGATCTCTTGGTGTCTTGGGATTTGGAGAGTGATGAAGACGTTTCACCGCATCTTCGGTTTGCAAATGAATTCAGTCAAATCTGAGATATTTTCGTCCGGGGTTGATAAAGGTACTCTTCATCTGGTCCATGAATCCATGTGTATTCGACAATGTGCCCTCTCAGTTAGATACCTGGGCATTCCTTTTATTACTAGGAGGTTGTTTGTTCATGATTATGCCCCCTTATCGACAAGATTTCATCCAAACTTCAGAGTTAGAAGTCCAATCAATTATCATATACTGGGAGACTGGAACTTAAATAGTCAGCCTCTATAGTATTTAGAACTTTTGGTCTTGACAACTTTGTTTGTCTAAAGCTGTCATCAAGCGGATTAACCAAATGTGTGCTTGTTTCTTTTGGGAAGATTAACCAAATCTGCGACTGTTGGGACCCTCCCTCTCTTCGGTTGCACGGATTTAGGGAGAGATTAAATTGAGCAAAGACAAGGTGCCGTGGAATAGGTTGGTGTGGCACCCTGGACACATCCCAAAGCACTCGGTTATAGCATGGATAGCGGAGCTTGATAGGTTGCCTACCAAGTGTAGGCTCATTGAGTTCGGCTTAAATGCATATGGCTTTTGTGTTCTTTGCAGGAAGGAATTGAAGTCTCGTGACCATTTATTCTTCCAGTACGATTTCTTTATGAGGGTTTGGGATGTAGTTCTTCTGTGCCAGCAGACTAGAGGCGCTTTGGGATGGTACTCAGAACTCACTTGGGCTGTCAGGTTTAAGGGTAAGTCACTGTTGTCCTTTGGGCTGAAGTTGGCTTGAAACAGATTTATTTCTTTGATTTGGAGAGAGCAAATCGTAAAATTTTTCAAAGCAGGGAGTACTCGACTGCTGAAATTGTTGCTTGTCTCAAGGAGTCAAATAGAATTCGAGTGAGGGGTAAGTCAATTAGGAGGGGTGGGATTGTTAATGAGATGATTTGTTTGAACCGCCTTTAATGGCTAACTGTTGTTGGCCCTGAAGGGTTTCTTGTATGCGTATTTGTTTTTTGATTGGTTGCAATACAAATTCTATTCATGAAAAAAAATTAAAATTTTAATATATAACTTTTACGAGCTGCTAGCGAATTTTTTAAAGCAGGTTATTAAGTAGATAATTTTGAATTGTTAAAAATTCAGAGGAATTTTATTTAAATCGAATGTTGATCAAACTTTAATTAAATCGAACTTAACTAGTATATAATATGTAATCTCATTTATGGAACGTTCTAGTGACCTTGATAGATGAAGCAACGGGTATTGGAGTGAGGTTGGATGTTTTGGAGGGGGTTCCAACGGAGCATATTAGGGTCTATACATTCAATGGTGGTGTTAGACATTGATATGTACAAGCTTTTAGCTATGCCTAAATCAGTAAGACGGGGGCCTTCAAATTATTGGCCAACACAAATATCCTGTGCTTAAATATACCATATCTTACCAAAATAAATAAATTTGTCTCTAAACATCCCCTCACCCCATTATATATGGAATAAGGTCAGTTAATTTGTCTTTAAACATAAAAATCATTCTCTATACTTTATAATTGAGAATGGGTACTGGACCCCACCGATCTTATAGGTTGAATTTTAAAATCCATTCAGATTAAATTTTTTGAACGATAAAATCATGTAGATTTTATTTTAAAGTGAAATATACTTCATCTTAAAATGATAGGACTATAACTTACTTATATTTATATATATATATAGAGAGAGAGAGGACAACTGTTATAACAATTTTTTTAATTAAGTTTCTATTTTACCTATTAAGGATAAGAAATATATATAGATATATCATACGTTTATTTTTATCTATCTAATGATATTAACAAAGGTGTTAACACCACTAGCAAGTGGATTCTAGCTCTCTCTTTCTCTCTCTATATATAAGATTAACCCGAATACAATTTTTTATCCAAAATTGAGTTGACTTTCAGATCAATTAAATTTTTCTTAAATTTATATTCAAATCGAAAGACATATAAATGATATAATAATTGAGTCGAGTTCACTGATCAAACGCCTAGTTGATTTATTCAAATCCTTTGCTCAACACTATTTGTATTATGCTGTAGATTCAATTATTATTGTTAATATTTTAAAATTAACTAAATTAAAATATAAGACTAAATTCAAAATTTGTACATAACACATGGACTGCGGACAGAATTTGACCTTAATACTTTGTGGCAACCAAAATTTTCAAATAAGGTTAAAAGGCGAACTAACGGATAAGACCTTTTTTTTCCTATCAGTGTTATTCCCCGGCGATAAATCCACCGATGTTGTGTCGAAACGGCGTCAATTGGCGGAAACCCATTCCGTTGCTTTCCTCCACCGCTCCTCGCACTTCATCATCGAACTCTAACACCGCCAAGCTAAAGCAATTCTCGGTCAGGTCTTCCGCGTCACCACCGATTTGGCGGGAGAGCCGGCGGTTGGTCTCAATATCTCTGTTTCTCTCTCACTTCCTCCTTACACCCAACTGTACGTTTTTTATTCTTTTCATTTATGAATCTATCAGTCTTGCAAAGAGTTACTTCAAAGCTAAAATTATAAGCTATTATTATTCATTATTCCCACTGCAGACGCCATTGCAGGTAGCTTTTTGGATAAATACGTGAAAAAGTAATCCGTAATCACTGACACCCTTTTGAATTGTACTCTGGCTATCATTTATTTATGTATTTTTGTGTTAATGATATGCAATTTGAAAGGAAAAAGCTGGATCCGCTTGAGGTTTATGTGCCTTCTGTTATATTGACTCCATTCCAGATTAAGGACCTAGGTAACTCTTAAAATATGTTTTGTTATCTTGATTTTGAAAGGGGAATTTCATAATTAAACCTCTTTCTTGTTGCATTAGTAGGGCTGTCAATCACCAGAGATTGAATGAATGAGCCTCTTGTGTTCATTCATTGTTTAGTTTTAAGTTTGTCTTCGGTTTGTGTTCATTAGGAATTTTAAAATTATGTTTGTATTCCTTCATTTAAACGAAACATGTTCGCAAACATTAAACAAATAGGTTCATAAATATAAAATTGAATGTGTTCACGAATAGTTAAAAATTTGTTTATTAATTGAAGAGCGAACATGGACTAGTTTTAAATTATTTATCAAATGAGTTTTAAACGAACATAAGTGAACTAAACATGTCTTATTCATGTTCGGTTTGGTTTGTAACAAGTCTAAAAATATTGCTTGTATTCATTATGTTTGCTTGATAAATTAATCGAAATCAAACTGTTCATCAGATGATTCTTTCGCTTGATGAGTGAAGTATTTTTTGCTTGATTTTGATGATGACGTTGCTTATGTCATGGTTTCATAATAAAGTTTGAACTCTGAACAATGTGGTGAAACTTGTAATTCATGACCACCTAACCGTTGCAGAGAAAACTTTGGAAGTTGATGATAAACCAGAATATGCAACCTGCAGATCCCTACTACATTCCGGTCCGGCTGCATCTCTGCGTGTAAATATCCGAGCTGTAAGTCGAAGCATTGTATATAGTTGTCTATGTGTAAATAGGATTCTTGGAAAAATAAAATCTTTTTATTCACATCGCAAATTGGGAGAATACAGCAGGGATATTTAAACAAACAATTGTCAAGAGTCCTAGATAGGCTAGAGGTTATTTTATTTACAAAGTAGGATTCTAGTGTTAAAGTAGGATGCTAATAGTTATCTACAAAGTAGGATTCTAGAGTTAGTGTTAAAGTAAGATACTAATAGTTACATCTAAACGCAACATAACTCACACTCCCCCTTAAGCTGTAGAGTAGATGTTAGTTATAGAGACCCAGCTTGGATGTAATCTCATCGAAATTGATCTTTGGAAACGCCTTAGTCAAGACATCGGCTAGTTGATCTTTTGAAGAGACATAGTTTAACTTTACTGTTCCACCATTCACCTTCTAGCAATCTAAACGCAACATAACTCACACTCCCCTTAAGCTGGAGAGTAGATGCTAGTTATAGAGACCCAACTTGGATGTAATCTCTTCGAAATTGATCTTTGGAAGCGCCTTAGTTAAGACATCGGCTAGTTGATCTTTTGAAGAGACATAGTTTAGCTTTACTGCTCCGCCATTCACCTTCTCAACAATGAAGTATCTGTCGATCTCCACATGTTTGGTTCTGTCGTGATGTACTGGATTTTTAACAATACTTATGGTTGACTTACTATCACTCTGAAGTTCAAAGTAGGTTTTTTCGCAAATTTCTAGTTCAGTTAAGAGTCTTTGTAACCCAATGTCTTCACAGATTCCAAGTGTTATCGCCCGATATTCTTCTTCAGCACTACTCTTGGAAACTAAAGTTTGTTTCTTGCTTCCCCAAGTCACAAAGTTTCCCCATACAAACGAACAATAACCCGTAGTTGATCTCCTATCTGTTAATTCTCCAGCCCAGCTTGAATCTAAGAAAATCTTGATTGTTCGTTCTATCTTCATGTTTTCTGAAAATTAACCCATGTCCTGGCGTCATCTTTAAATACCTCAAAATTCGATATACTGCCTCCAAATGTTCTTCTCTAGGGTCATTCATGTACTGGCTTACAATAATAATAGAAAGGGATATATACGGTCGAGTATGTGACAAATAGATGAGTTTACCTACTAACCTTTGGCGTTGTTCTTTATTTAGTGGACTCTCATCTTTTTTTTAACTTCAGATTTGCTTTCATGGGAGTTTTCGAAGGCTTGCAACTATTAAACCCATTTTCAGAAAGTAGGTCCAAAATGTTCTTTCTTTGGTTTATGACAATCCTTTTTTTTCGTTCTTGCCACTTCCATGCCCAAAAAATATCTCAAGGTCCCTAAGTCCTTAGTTTCAAATTCTCTTTGCTAGTAATGCCTTTAATTTTTTTGATTTCTTCTGAGTTATCACTTGTTATGATGATGTCATCAACATAGACAATTAAGATTGTATTTTTCTTGTTCGGAGCGGTTTTTAGAAACAGAGTGTGATCAGATTGACATTGCTTATATTTGTCTTGCAAAAGTACCTTCGTGAATCAATCGAACTAAGCTTAGGAGATTGTTTCTGTCCATATAATGACTTCAGCAACTTGCATATTTGCTGATTTTCTGATTGCATCTGTACCCTATGTGGAATTTACATATAAACCTCCTCTTAAAGATTGCTATTGAGGAATGCATTTTTGACATCAAATTGATGAAGTATCCAATCCTTATTAACTGCTAAGGATAGAAGTACTCTTACAATGTTGAGTTTCGCAATCGGAGCAAAAGTTTCTTGATAGTCTACTTCATGAGTTTGAGTGAACCCTTATATCGCTTAATGTTGCCACCTGCCTTGTATCTGTTTGTAAAGACCCATTTGCAGTCAACTGCTTTCTTATCTTTAGGAAGATCACCAATAGCCCAGGTTTTGTTGTTCTCAAGAGTCGAAAGTTCTTCTTCTACCGCCTTCTTCCATTTGTAACTTTTTAAAGCTTCTTCTATGGTCTCTAGAATGCAGATGCTGTCAATCTTAGCTGTAAATGTCTTAAAATCATACATTAGTTTACCATAAGCAACAAATTTATTAATACGATGAGTTGTACACTTTCTTACTCCCTTTCTTTGAGCAATCAGTAACTCACTAGTATCAGCAAAACATCCAAATTACTCTGATTGCCTTCTTTATTTTTCAAGGAATTTAAGTCGGGTTCTAGCTCTTAACAATGCGTCAGCAGTGAGGGGACAAGTGAGGTGTGTTTAGGTCGCCTTCTGTAGGTAAGATCGGTATGGGAAATGAATTGAGACACAGATGGATTTGGTATTTGAGTCGATTCCATTGGGTTAACGTTTTGGTGTTGGTTTTCAGTATCAGGTATGGTGGTGGTATTAGGTGATGTTTGAGTGATTGTTTCAAGCGATGGCTGAGTTTTAGTAGATTTAGGAGGAGATAGGTTGATGGGTAGTTCAGTATTAACTGGAAAAAGCTGAAATTCACACTCATTCTACCTTTGGATTTTAGACTTAGAGAAAAAAAAGGTTTATGTTCAAGGAAGGTAGCATCCATCGAAGTAAACAGTTTCTTGGTAGAAGGAGAGTAACACTGATAACCTTTTTCAAGAGAGGAGTACCCAACAAAGACACATCGAACTACCCAGGGATTAAGTTTAGACTTAGTGTGGGTATGATCATGACCAAAAATAGTATGGCCAAAGACACGAAGAGGAACAACAGTAGTGAACAGTTTAAAATGAGGGGAAAATTGAGAAAGAACATCCCAAGGACATTTAAATCCAAGAACTTTATTGGGCATGTGATTAATGAGATAAGTTCGCAATTAAAAGAGCCTCACCCCAAATGTACTTAGGAATATGAGTAGAAAAAAGAAGGGCTCGAGTTACCTCAAGAAGATGACGATTTTTACGTTCAGCTACCCCATTTTGTTACAGTGTATTGACATAAAAAGTGAGATAGACAATTCCTTTTTCCTGAAAGAAAGACCCTAACAAGTTAGAAAAACATTCAATATCATTACCAAAACTTAAGAATATTAACAGAGCTCTGAAATTGGGTCTCAATCATTTTATGGAAGCATTTAAAAATGCCCACAACCTCGTATTTATCTCGCATGAGAGAAGTCTGTGGTATGAGAATGGTGATCAATAAAAAAACCAATGAACCCCAAATGTCGTGTATCATTGAAAAAGGTTTGGAAGAACGATAAGGAGGATATGTATTGTGAATGTGTTTGGCAAGATGAAAAATATCACAAGAAAAAGATGTAGGGTTTTATTAACGAACAATTTGGAAAATAACTTTGCAAGATAAGCAAAACTGGGGTGACCTAACCTAAAATGTCATAAAACAATTTCAGCAGACACTTAATTAAGAGATGGAGATATGGAAACAAATGAGGACATAATAGTAGAGGATACGATTTTTTTAACCGGATGAGGGGCTTCAAGGATGTAGAGTCCATCACGACGCTTAGCATTGCCAATCACCATTCCCGAGCTCAAATCCTGAAATTCACAAATATCATAGTTAAACCGGGAAGTGCAACCCAAATCCGAAAACAATTTACTAACCGAAAGGAGGTTGCAAGCCAAATTTGGAACATAAAAAACATTAGATAAAATAATATAGCGATTAATCCGAATGGAGTCACTGCCCGCAATAGATGAAAGTAAACAATTAGCAGTGCGAACACTATAGGAAGAAATTGCTTTTACAAAATTCTGAAAGAGGGTGAAATCGCCCGTCATATGATCACTACCGCCTGAGTCAACAATCCATGAAACAAAACCCAAAGATAATTGAGCCAAGTTAGGGTTACATGCACACACAACACATGACATGTGTGTTTGGGTGTGGAAGAGGACTGGAATTGTCCGAAGATTTGCTTGAGTTCTACCAAATGATGACAACGAAAAAAGTTGTTGCCAGTGTCGTATTGAGGATCAGAAGAATCTGAAACAGACATATTGGACGAAAGGTATTGTTGCTGTTGGCAACTGGTGATGAAGAGGCGTACCAATTAGGACCAAGAAAGACAATTTTCTCCATACAAGCAATGACATGTGAAGAAGGTCGAACCTGCGTCGATAGAAATCGGGTGGGAGACAGAGGTGCCTACCTTTGAAGGAACCACGGACGATTGAGAATGGACAATTGTCGGAATAAAAAAAAGAAGAAGCTAAGATCTAACCTAAACTGATACCATGTAGAAATAGGATCCTCGGAAAAATAAAATCTTTTTATTCACATCACAAATTGTGAGAATATGCAGGGATATTTGTACAAGCAATTGTCAATAGGTCCTAGATAGACTAGAGGTTATTTTATTTACATAGTAGGATTCTAGTGTTAAAGTATGACACTAATAGTTATCTTATCTACAAAGTAGGATTCTAGAGTTAGTGTTAAGGTAGTACATTAATAGTTACATCTAAACGCAACATAACTCAGTCTGATCTTCTCATTTCCATGAAGAAGGGTCTAAGAACAATCGAGTTTCAAAAAAGAGAAGCATTTGCATTGCTGACAAGTATCAACTTGATGAGGAAATTTTGTTCATTTCCTTTATTGCTATCTGCATTTGTCATTCCCTTTAGTTTTTTTTTTGGTAGTTTTTAAAATTCTTTGTTGGTATTATTCTATCGAGTTCCTGAGGTTTTGAACAATTCCCTTCGATCTTCAGATCGTACAGTATGCTTCTGATGCTGGGAATGGTGAAAATGCTTTCAAAGACGTTGATCAATGTCTCAGGTATTTCAATTAAGCTATTGATGAAAGTTCTGAAGATTTATGTTCAGTTTAGACAAAAGATGGCAATAGAGAAGGTGGGGGCTGGGATTGCCTAGTCCACCTCCCTTCCAGGTTTCAACATCCACTTCCATAGATTGCAAATCATTCACACTGCTTTACCTCACTTTTTTTACTAATCACTTTTCAATCTAATATTATAAAAATATGTATATATAAAGTATAAATATGTATATAAATACAAAATATTCACACATTCGATGATTTTAGTAATATATGTTTAATATAAACATTGTAACTTCAAAAGTTGCACAAAGTATAGTGGAGTGAGCATTTACTGTACTTGTCCCACTCCACTTTTTGTATCCACCACTTATTTTCTTAAAGAAAGAAAAGCTGAACTCCCCATTTAAAGTGGATGTATGCTAAATCAATGGAGCAGTTTGATTAAGTTGGTTTTCAGACTTTAGGTCAAGTAAATTTTGAGTTTTGGATTCGGATCTCTTTGGATTGACTTCAGTTTTCGAGTCAGGTCATCGTAGATTTGGATGTAGAGTCCTAATCACTTATCATTTTGAGTTACATGTTCGGATTTATTTCAAGTTCATTTATTTCAAGTAAATATCACTTCGGGTTCACATTATTTAACTTATTAGATTAATTTGTGTTCGGGTTATAGACTGGTTGGATTGCTGACTTGTTCTGATCAATCTGTGATGTAGAATTTCATGCTAGCATTTCTATTTGTATTTCAAACAACCGAACATTGACAGCATTTTAACCAACTAGAGCATTGGAGGAACTAGACTCCTTGCTGTTACATGCCTCGAGAAATGTGCCCGATGCCTCGGTAAAAGCAATGAAGGCACATATTGCTACTGCCCTCAATGCCATTGATAGGTATTATAGCTTTACACTATATATATATATATATATATAGTTATATATAGTTATATACCACATTCAAAACAAGTAGAACTTCATTTCCTTATATACGCGTTTTCCATTGGCAGCCAGCTTCAAACGGTTCCACCCGATGTATTAAATCAAGGCAAGGAGATTGCTGATGCATATCGAGCTCCAGACGATGACTTCAAGCAGCCTCGAGACTTGGACCCGGAAATGAAGCAATTGGAATCAATTTTATGATGCGAACAGATGACATGCAGCACTATAATTACCTGAATGTGCCCTAATACTGAACTTCTGTGCGAAATAGATTATCAATCTCAGAAAATAAGAAATATCAACCAATGCTGTGAATATGGAAATATTGGTAGTAATTTTATTACACTGTAACACAAGGACGCAAGCATGTCAATTACCTATATGTGATCTTCTATATTTATATATTTTCAAAACAATCTGGAAATGATGATTACCATTTACAAACAAGCAGAGCCTACCATAACAAAAACACCAAGCCGTTGCTGCCAAAAGGGAAATACAATTTCTTCATCACAATCCCATCATGCAGGTGATAAGCTACTGAATATTCGCTTCAAACTTGGACAAATTGCTCGTAACCTCCCCATGTTCATCGAGCAAATCTATCAACCACATAAGAAAATCTCGTGAGAATATTAGACATTTGAGTCTAAGAGACTATAAACAAAACTTGAACATGATCAAAGAAAAAGTATGGTATAAGAAGAGCATATAGACGGGAGCATAACTGGAGGGAGATCTGAAGAAAAGAATGCCCTTACCTTTGGACAAAAGCGAACATCCAAAGTCTCCAGCATGCTACACTCTGATATAGCAGTTTCAACTGTTTCCTCCTCGATGTTGCAAGACTTGGAAAGACCGATTCACAAAATAAAACAGTTAGATGATGAACTTGCGGCCGTAAACTTACCACACGTATGAAGACACATTCATTGTTTGTTTGCAACATAAGAAGTTGAATTGGGTTACAAAGCTGAGTATAAAAATCAAAAAAATATATAACACCTAAGCCGATGTAAGAAAAGTCAAACTGCACATAAACTTACTACACATCGATTAAAACCATAATTGCAGAGATAAGTCAGTTTATAACTGATCTTTAACTACTAGCGAAGCATCAGGAAATGAAGACATCGTACGACTCATTAGCCAGTTCCTAGAACACAAATACCAAAATAGAGAGAACAATAACATAACTTCTTCACCAACCCGTCAGGCAAATAAACAATATTACACAAGAACCTCATAGAAGCCTCAGTAGAAAACCAAAAATCTTCGAGAATAGACTCAAGATAGAAAACCAGCAGAACGAAGGGGAACAAGAAAGGACCTAAATATTAAACACCAGTGGTTTCAGAGATACATACCTGAAGAAACAGACTGGTCAGTTTAGGACATCCCAGCTTCAAAACTTCCAAGGAGCTACAATTGCTGAATAAAGAAATAGGCATAAAAGTTCAGATGAGTGCCAGATAAAATAAAGACGAACAACCCAAAAAAAGGTGTCAGTACCTTAAATTAAGAAAGGACAAACTGTAACATGCGAGGTCAACTTCCTTCAAATTGGCTGACAAAGAAAGATTTAGGGATGACAAATGGAAACAACGTGCAGCTGGTGGAATGAGCACTTTCCTAATATTTGGACAACCTACACAGTTGAGGTTCTGCAGTAAACGGTTTGGTTGCTCGATCAGCTCATTGAGGTTCTCTAAAGAAAACATACTAGATCCATTATGTATGCCAAGTGACTCGAAATCAACACCAGTAGAACCCCAATTCAGGTCATGCATATTTATACATCCATTCAAGCTCACATGGGTAAGATGTGTGCAATAAGCAAGAAGCTCCTCTATGGCAGACTGGCACAGGGTACCGTATGACAAGTCCAAATCCCGGAGTTCTCCTAAAGCACCTTCCTTGTAAAGAGGCTCCAGGGATGAATCAGCCAGATATTTGCATGCCTGTAATTTTAACACCTAAAAGGGGGGGGGGGAAGTGAGCCAAAGAGCATAGCAAGATATCATTGAAAGCATAAACAAGATATTCAGCAGAATGTCAAAATTTTGATCACTAAGAGCACAAACCTATGCAACCTTGATACAATATGCAGTAAAATGAAGTTAACATGAATAGAATGAATATGCCTTGCATGATTAATCATGATTATATAACAAGGATTTTAAAGTTACCTTCAGCTGCAAACAAGACTCAAAGACCGGCTGCAAATTCGTCAAAAAGGTATATGATAAATCAAGTGTAGTTAAATTTGGAAGCCAGCGCAAAGAGAAAAGACCATCAGAACCAATAGATGGGCAAGACATCAATATTAATGACTCGATCAGAGGGCAGGAAACAGTGGTTGCAGATAAGAAATCATCCTTGAGTTGGCTGCATATAAAATTAAAAAGATTCGTCAACCATAGGCCAAAATAAAGTATCATAAAAGTAAGCAATTGCAACAAACCTGCAGAAGGAAGCATCAAGTGATGTCAATAGAGGACAATTTATCGATGCTTCAGATAATACACCACATCCTTTCAACTCAAGCGACACCATATATGGAGCATCAATTCTTAGTGAGTCCAATTTTGGGCATATTCCAAGATTAAGTGACCGAAGAGCAGCCTAGAAAGGAAAAAAAGCTTCAGCTTTTACATTTTATAACAGGATGACATTACATGCATAATGTAGTTGTCACTCTAGACTTACAGGGTAAAACAATGCTCTTTCAAGATGATCACAGCCATCCAGGCAAATTTTCTCAAGACAAGGACATGCAAGATCCAGAGAAGTGATAGCACGACAACCAACTAGAGAAAGACCAACTAAAGATGTACTGGATAACTGCACCGCTGTCAAGCTCTGGTCAACATAAAAACAAGGAATTGTCAGAAAACACAATAAAATGACGCACGAAAATGCAGGAACCAAGGAGCTATATTCATTCCATAGCACAAAAAGCAATTAAAGGATATTGGTATCTCGTAAGTAATGTTAGATGCAGACCAGGATTAAGACAAATAAAACTATGGCGCTATTTGAAGTGATCAATCTGCTGAGATGTAGCTAATCTTACAGGTATATATCACCCAATCTTTGAATGTCCTATTCGCATGCACATGCATAATAACTGAGGAAATGGTTCAGTATACAGAAAAAATCTATTCACATACCTCGCAATTATCCAGAACTAACAATTTTAGCATAGGGCAACCACCACCATAACTAAATACATTGCATACAGAATTTGTCAAAGATACACAATCTGTTAGGTCAACTTCTTGCAAACATTGACATTGCAGTGCCAACATTGTCAAATTTTCCTGCTTCTGCAATGCTAATTTCTGCATTTCAGTAAAATCAACCATACAACATCAAAATCTTATTTGCAACCAAGACAGTAACAACAGATACCAGATCATCATAAAACATACTTGAAGTGAATTTGAACTGATACTAATACGATGGAGAGCAGTGCAATTGGATACCATCACAGATGATAGCATGGAACACTGTACATTCAAGTCAGCAAATCTGCATGGCCAAAATTATAAATCAATATAAAATCAAAGAGAAAAAAAGATCCAGCCAAAGACACTGCAGCAGTTAAGTCATTTTGGGTTTTCTAAGAAAAGGAAAAGGGGAAAAAATGAAATAACAGTATACTTTCGACAGTGAACCAATCGAATTTTCTGCAAACGAGGAAGATCCAATGACACTGACGTTAACATGTGGCAATTATCAAGCTCCAACTCCTGCAACAGGTAACAGAATAAATATGTGCATGCAGAAGATTTTAACAGAGACCACAAAAATCCAGGTAACAACTATATATACAAGGGAAAAACCCCAAACCTCCAACATATAACTATGAGCTATTGCAGCCATTGAGGCAGATGTGATACCCTCACAGTTGTCAAGTTTAAGAACTGTTAACATCGGCAGTCTTACAGACTTCAAATCACAAAAGCAAATGCATCAAAATACAACTTAACCAAAAAAGTTTACCATATTAGAACTAAATTAACCGTTTGCAAGAAACTAACCTCAAGTGATATGTTGGGACAATAAGAAGAATCCAAAACATGGAGATTAGCACAACTGTGAGCTATCTCACGCAATGTATCATCACTAACACAAGAACAATTCGACATGTCTAAAGACTCTAATTGGGGGCAAGAAGTTACTGCCGAACGAATTGCTGCATCTGTAAGTTTGTGGCAAGAGCTTATGTCAAGCAGATTTAAAAGAGGGCAATTCAGGGCCACCTGAGCCATATTACTACGTTTCAAAGACAAACTTTTTAGCTCTGGACACCTGCAAAAGATTCAGGCTTTAGCGGAAAGAATAAACACAAGGACAAAGTTAACATTCAAACGAAGCTTTTGTTTCACCTGATAGATAGTCGTATCCCACGGCATTTTGTTACTTTCAGATCACACAATCGATCATGGCTAATAGGTATTTCTTGAACACCATTGCCGAGAATAGCATCATTCACATCCAAACTCCGTATCATACTACATTCTACCAATGCATGGAAAAAATCATCCCCTAGTTGACCTCTTCCCAATGTTAAAGCCTCGAGATTTCTGCCAATCAGAAAGTTTACATGAATAACAGCAAGCACAACATATTCATTAGATTACAAGAATAAAAATATGACAGAGAAAAGATTACCGTAATGAAGAGACAGCTCTCATAACTAGCAGGTGCATATTACGAGTGCCACTGAGATTCACGTCAGAGGCATTCGGATATCGTTGACAGATGTCTTCAACTGCATAATCAAAATGCAATGTTATAGCAGTCATGAATCCAATTTTATTATTGGTAATGGAGAATCATCTCACACAAAGTAATATACTA